CGTGACACTGAGGGTTGCGATCCGTTGCCGGACACGAAAAAAGACAAAAAAAGGAAAAAAAGGAAAAAAAAAACTGACCCTTGGTATGGAATGCTTTTTAAAAATCTATTAATCAGTTTTTTAAAAAACTCCATGTTGAGCAAGGGCTTTTGCTACTTAATATTGGGAAATTCGGCAGGGAATACCCAAAAGTATAAATAATAGAAAATATTTTATGCCAAGAATCTTTTACTTGATTAAATTTGAGGAGACTTGCTACCTTGACATCAAGGCTGCAGGGGTTTGGTTTTGTGTTTTTAACAGCTGGATTTACTCCTTTCATTCCCACAGCCACTTTTAAAAAATATAATTATATTGTTTTAAATTCACTTCTCTAAATTCCTTCTGCCATTTCCTTTTGAATTCTTATCATCTGCCCTCTGATGTTTCAAGTGACTAATTCCTTCCTCTACCAGCTCAGTATCTCTCTTCCCTATATCAGTGGTATCAGTAGCCTACGACCACTGAATAGGCAATTGCTGACTGCAGATATGCAGTAGCCAGGTGATATAGTTTAGATAAAAGACCTCTGGAGGTTTGTTGGGGTTTTTTGCTTTTTTTCTTTCACAGAAGAAAAAAATGGAAAAATGTAGAGCTCAATAAGATATCATGGAAATTAGTTTTCTCTCTGATTTTTAGACTGTAGATCAAGATGTCTTTCAATTCGGGTATCCCTAAGGGTTCCTTTATTTTATCCTGTTGGCATTTGGGGTTTAGAAAAGTAAATTATTTTACTTGTCTAAAATAATTAATAAAATGATTGTTCTTGTTGGTAAAATTTTAGTTTTTCTCAAATTAATGGAAATCTCTAATTTTAGATGGAAAGTAGTATAAGAAAAAGATACTATAACTACCTTGTGTTATCTTGCTTTGAAATTAATAAAAATTAATTTGTTAATTTCCACATACCTAATTTTTTTTAATTGAATCATAATTGATTATACATATTTTGGGGGGTTCTGTGTTGACATATGTTGATCAAATCAATATTACTAGCATATATATTGTTATAAATTGTACTTATTCTTTATGTCCCTTGTACAGTCTCTCCCTATCCCCTCTTACTCCCCCTTTCCACCACTGATAACCCTAGATTCCTTCTCTTCCTCTGAAACAGTAATGGTTACTCTGCTGATTTGTTTCCTAGATGATCTGTCCAATGCTGAAAGGTGTGTTCAGGTCCCCCAATATTATCATAGAGCAGATGCTTCTTCTGTCACTCTGGAATGGGCCTTGGGGAAAGAGACATCCTATTCTTTTCTTTGGTCTCTGCTGGTTACTCTCCTTGTGTCAGTGCACTCCAGTAGCTGGCAGACGATTTGTGTGGTGGTTGTGACGTCTAGCCACTTTTACAGCAGCTGTGGTTACTGTGGTGGCTGTGGTGGGCCACCCACACGGAGGTGATGTTTTTGGCATGCTCCTTGGTGATGGTGGTGTATGTGGTCTTAGGGGGGTCCAGTCCCCGGCTCCACGCCCCGCCCACAACCAGGCACACCGCCAGCACCTCGAGGCTCTGCCTGGGGGCTGGGGCATGGAGCCGGGACTTGACCCCTCCGCCCACATATCTAAATTTTAACTGAAACCTACTCCTACTTGTCTTGTCTGTGAAAATTATATTCCAGCTGATTTAGTGATTTTTATTAGTTAATAAAACCTCAAAATTGCCCTTAATTCTCTAACCCCATTATTTAATTTTCCCAAATGTAGAGGCCATCACAAATTTTGATGATCATTAGATCATTTGTCAGTAAGCTAGTTCTCTGCTCACTTGTATAATGTGGTTGATTCTCCTACAAGGAAGCTTGGCATAGGTCAGTATAAAAAGCATTAAATGTTGAGTTAGGGTCCCTAGAACAAGTTCTGTCTCTACAATACACAGAGTCACCATCTGTGTAACTTTGGTCAAGTGATTTGGTCTCTCGGAGTTTTTCATACTATCTTCTTATTACAAAATGGAAATAATTTCTTCTTCTAAGTCAGTATATATAAAAGGGCCAAGCATTGTGCCTAGCACTGAGTAGAAGATAAATAATTGTTTTTAAAAAATTAGATCACAAGATAAATAATTGTTCTAAAAAAATTAAATCATGGAACTAAAATGAACATTTTTCTTTGGAATTTTTTTCTTATTTTTGGTTAATTTGGTACTATAATTTAGTGATTTGCACCTCAATCTTGGTCTTTAATGTTTATAGGGGTTCTTTTTACTGCTTAGCTTTCTTTCATTCATCATTCTCCTCAAATACCAAGCATATTCTAGATTTCACTACTCAAGACCTGTCTTTGCTCCTACATTTCACTTAGAAAATTGATTATGTTAGTTTTCTAACTCCTCAGATTTTTGCCATCAGAGTTTTAGGTTTATGTGAATTGATAACTATCCTTTTACCTGTGTGACATTGGATAATTTATTTAACTGCCTGTTGAGAGCCTGTTTTCTCATCCTTAAAGTATGGATGATAACTGTACACATTTTATAGGATTATGGTGTGAATTAAGTGAGATAATTGATGTAAAGGACTTCGCATAGTCCCTGTGACATTATAGATTCACAATGAATGTTACTTACTGTTATTAACATAATAATTATTATCATTTTAAAATTTTCCTCTAATCTAAGACTAACTTTTCTTATTCCCTTACCTTCCACTCTCTGATTCATTCAACTGTGTTACTGAGCATCAGCTCCATGCCAGGTTAACAGTTGAGAATATAGTGGTGCACAAGACAGATGTACTACATTTACTGAGCAGCACAAACTAGTAAATAAGTAGCTGAAACAAAATTTAAAAATTATTATCACAGGAGAAATACAGAATGTTTTGACACACGGAGCAGAGGCATTTATAATAGGCTGGAGGCTCAAAGTAGGCTTCTGGAGAAAATGACATTTAAACTG